GAAGTGACCTCTCACTTTCCTGCCACCCCTCGTTTCACGTTGTATTTCAGCTTCACGCCTGGGTGGGGTAAAACCCGAGAGAGAAACTTTCCATTCCCTGTGTTTTGTGAGGCAAAGCGTAAAGGCCAGTTCGATATAACCGGCAAGTTTGTACTGTTTAAAATCGGTTGATAAGGGGTTGCGAAAACAAAAGGACTGAAGAATGCGAAAGGAATGCGCATCGCGCGATTTAACATGATAGAACACGACGGCAAAATTATTATGCCATCGGAAGTAATTGAATTTGTTTTAATTGTTATTATACATGGCTTCGACTCGGTTGAGTATGTTGTGATGATGATCACGACTTCAAGGGGTAACGGAGGGCCACCGTTATCGCGAAATTCTCAAACAAATTTCCTACTCAGAGTTATCAATATTTTTTAAACCCACGGGGAGAGAAATGTTCAGTAAAAATTACCGAACTCACAATTCGCTCGCCGATTACGGAATCGACTCAGAAAATTTGAGTGACGATATTGTAATTTTTCACAGATCCTATTCTAAAAAGAACATACACTTAAAGTCGATAACTATCGATATCTCGCAAGTCTGTCACGGTTATTCCTCATTGGTTCCAGTCGTCTGAGGCGGCAAATTTAATTCACGATTAATTTAATTTTGAGATTTTCAATTATGATTGTTACAATTACAGCGCGCTGTAGCGCAAAATTTTTACTAAATTTTATTATTTATTGATTGAGCTTTATGACTATAGCCTGGGGTAACAATCACCCCCTAAGAACAACCCAAATATGTTACATGAATTAATTAGCCTTCAAAGAACTAAACTCTAGGAATTAATCGAGATTATCAAATTTGACTACGATACATTATAATAGGAAGAGAAGAATAAAAGAAAGATGAACCACTTCAATTGAAAATTCATTTGAAAGAGAACGTTGACACATCGTGTCAGCTCAGATCTGCCCATGCGTCAAGCCCACAGGCGTGATTTTTCGGGGGCTCTCCCGTGATTCTACACTTTTTCAATCACCGGGTCGAGGGCTTTTGGAACTTGAAAATTCAACGGTGAGGAAAATAAGCTGCGATTAACCGTACGATGTGGCAGTTACTGTCGCAGAATACTAGGGGCAACATCACTGCGAGTTATATCCATTCGCTTCCGTTTTCCATCCCTCCAATCATCGCCGCTTCGATGCACGACTCGTAAACAAGCCACGGGATTTTACGCAACATGGATAACTCAATAGACTATGGTCGCCGCGATCGATCGATGGGGTTTCGTTTAGTTACTCTGACGTTTGTATTTTCTCTCCGGGATTTTTGGTTGAGGCACTCAGTCACAGCTGATGAGAATAGTCTCAATTCGTTGAAATAAATTCCATTTATTTCATTAAAATAAGTGGAATTTATTTCATTGTCGTCAACAGTGGGTTTAGATATAGTTGAAAAGATTTATAAAGAAGTTATTGAATGTTTCTACGCTGTTGGAAATTTTTTGAAATTCAAGTAACAGATGCATTTGAATTTTCAATTTTCGAAACTTAAATTCAATTTCAGATTAAATTGCTCACGGAATTCCTGATTCATCTTGGAAATTCAGTAAAATTAAGTTTTTTGGGATGAATGATCATTGACTTTTCAATGACAATTTGGATTTTCACATCTATCGCGAAAATTAAACATTACATTCAATTGAATTTTCAAGAGATTACAAATTCAGAAGAAAAATTGCCTGAATTTTCACGATTTTCAGGAATTTTTATTGCCGTATGAACATGAGAAATCAAATTTCATTGAGTATTCAAGAAAATTGACTGATTTATCAATAACAAGATCAATGGCAATTCCATATAAATTATTCGTTGATGAAAATTTCAAGAATTGAAATTTCTAGCATTAACGTTTACATTTTTTACTTGAAATTTCAAGAGTAATTTTCCAACAGTGTAATTACAAAGTCCGTTCATTACTGATCAGAATGGAGAGTTCACTTCGTTTATTTGAATATACGAAATGTACGTTTTTGTTCTCTGTTTTATTGAATAAATAGATAATTCATCTTCCCTTAATCAGAGGAAGCCTTCACATCTTTCTCCATCCTTTTGCCTCCCCCTCAGTAATTGAACGGATCGTTTGTTCGATTGCACGGAGAGAAATATTCAATAAAAATTACGTATCTTTTCCGTAATTCCGGAGCGAAAAGTGGTTGTAGGAAATTTTACGGAACTGTCACGAACTTCTTCCAGAGCGTTCCGTAATTTTTATTTGAATCTCCTGTTATTACGATAAAAATTACGATACCGTCACACGGAGAGAAATATTCAAGAAAAATTACGGAACACTTCACGTAATCCGCAAGCGAGAATCGTTTTCAGTGAATTTCTACAGGAATATAAGAGAATAAATCTGAAACGTGCAGTAAATTTTCGGGTCTGTCACCGAAAAAATACGAAAAAGTCACGTAATTTTTCTGGAAGTTGTAAAATCTAACAGAAACTTCAAGACTTATTATGCCTTAGAACATGAAAATTCTTGGATGTTTAAGAATTTTTACGAAAAGTTCCGGAAAAATTACGGAACGTGTTGTTAAAATCTCCCCCTCACGAGGGATTACGTATCTTTTCCGTAATTCCGGAATTTCCGGAACTATCAGGAACTTCTTCCAGAGCGTTCCGTAATTTTTATTTGAATCTCCTGTTATTACGATAAAAATTACGATACCGTCACACGGAGAGAAATATTCAAGAAAAATTACGGAACACTTCACGTAATCCGCAAGCGAGAATCGTTTTCAGTGAATTTCTACAGGAATATAAGAGAATAAATCTGAAACGTGCAGTAAATTTTCGGGTCTGTCACCGAAAAAATACGAAAAAGTCACGTAATTTTTCTGGAAGTTGTAAAATCTAACAGAAACTTCAAGACTTATTATGCCTCGAACATGAAAATTCTTGGATGTTTAAGAATTTTTACGAAAAGTTCCGGAAAAATTACGGAACGTGTTGTTAAAATCTCCCCCTCACGGTGACTCATGGCTAGCCGTGAGGCGTCGGACGGATGAGTAATTGTTACGTAACAGATCGTAGAATTTACGTGACGATTGACACTTGTTATTGAATTTTACTTCGCTCCCAGATTCCGTTTCGAAACGTAATTTTTACGTCTTTTTTCTGGTAATTTTTATTGAATATTTCTCTCCGTGCACTTAAATTTTTTGAGTCGATTCCGTAATCAGTGAGCGAATTGTGAGTTCCGTAATTTTTACTGAATATTTCTCTCCGTGTGTTTGTTTGTGCACCGCCATCCTTTGCCCATGCGTATCAAAACCCAACCTCTCCCAATTCTTTTATTAATCCTCCAAAATCTGTCCACGTATTCTCCGCAAAATTGTGAAATTACTGTGCGCCGTTATCTCCTCCGTGGAAATGACCGGTGACGCGGGGGGTGGGGAAGAAGGGGTGATGCAGCCTCTGTAGAGTGTGGGTGTGCAGCCGACGGGGGTGACGGACTCGGTGAAGCCAGCCACAAACTAATTACAACCCCGGGGCGCCGTTGAGTGCAACTAGAGGGTCGTACTATCCACACAACGAACATGAAATTATTAAAGTCAAAAAATATAAAGTTTACGTTGCAACGAGCGGAGACTCCGGACTTCCCGGAGTTTTTTTTTCTCGGGAGTAGTTTGTGTTTAGAAGATGAATCTGGCGGGAATGGATGGGTGACCCCTTGGAGATGACTGCAGATGTGATGACCATTCATTCTTTTGCCTCCGAATGGCAGCTTTGTAATCGCTCAAATTTAAGTTTCCAATTTTTTGTGTTAGGGTCCGAGGGGGTCGGGGGGGGGGTCACAGGCGAATTAGGTGACACCGCGATTACAAAATGAAAACGATTATCCAGGATTACGGGGCCGATGACCAAACATCTGTCATCATTGAAATCACAAAAATGCCCTCTTATTAAATATGAATTGATGGAATAATTAATTATTAGAAGCTGCAAAGAAATGAGGAAGGAGGGGCGGGGATTAGAACAGAGGAATGCAGTCTCCATCACTCCATCTAAATATTCGGGCATTTATAAGTGCTATCAGCAAAATAAATTGACTGAATATCTACCATTGATGGAGAATGGAACTTACCAGCAGATAATTCAGAGATAATTCAGTCGTTGGTTCTCCAGAATAAGAAGAAATTTTAACTCTGTTGAATCATTTTTCTACGGACAAATGGTCTGTGCGAAACGCATTGGCTATGCAAGGTTCTGAACCATAAACATCTGGGATTCCCAGAAAAATTGATTCAGGGATCTCTGAGATTTATCGTTGGTAGAAATGACGCGCTCGAAAATTCAAAACCAAAATTCACGGTCTCACTAGGAGCAACTATGAAAGATTACACTGATTACAAGTGATTAAAGTGATTACAGATGATTACCACTTGATTACCGAAACTTGATTACAAATATGGTAATCATGTGATTATAATGATTACATTGATTTCACTGGGATTACAATTGATTACATCAGCGAGTGACATCACGATTACGCCTGTGAATAGCCGCTCGTTAAGGTCATTAAATATGATCTAAAAAGTCAAAATAGGCGATTTTTAAGTGGTGCCTGTATGTATGAATGTAGGGGAGAAAAACGTAAACATCACGCATGAATTTTTCCAATCATTCTCAAATTTTGGATCAGAGTCACGAAAAGTTGATAAACATTTCAATTTTTTGTATCATCACAACATTCCTGCATGTGCATATGCAGCTTATCGTTCTGAAATGAGTCAGTCACAATTGTCACCACTATCCGAGAGCATATTGACACCTGCAAATGTTGACACCTAAGGAATTCACAAAGTTACAAAGCTAATCCAAACTCTTCCGATACCGATTGAATATCACACTCGGTTTACATTCTCAAAGAATTAAAAACATGCGTTAATATATCAGGAAATAAAATGAGCGAAACGTGAGGTACACCACGTATCTAAAGATCACATGCGAAATATATTCCACGAGAAATTTTTGGACTGAAGGACTGTGAATAGAGACGTACGATCGAACACATCAGTCAGCTAAACCGTTGAGCAGAAATTTATTGAGGAAGCCGAAAATGTTGTACCGATCCATCGTCTTCGCAGTCGTCATTACGGGTGAGTTCACTATTGACAATCGTTGATATTGTTGGTTAAGGGGAGACTACTGTGAGTTTTAAAAGTCGTGGGTTATGGGAGTGAGACTTTTCATACGTTGAAGATCGATTATATAGATCTGAAAACGAATAATTAGTCAAAAAAAAAAATTTTTTATTCTTCGTTTGCCCGAAAACGCTTAAAATGCCAAAAACAGTCCAGGGCCTCAAATTTTTGAGCTACAAATGATTTTTTTTCAAAATTTTCGGAAAAATATGTGGAATAACAATTACGAGCTAGTTTTTTTTAATTCACCTCTTACATGGCTAAATTTGCTTTTTTCATATTTCTTTACACAAATAGTGAATTTTTTTATATAAAAAAAAAACGAAATCAGCTATGTAGTAGTCCAATTCCAAAAAACTGGGTCGTAATTGTTGTTCCACACATTATTCCGAAAATTTTGAAAAAAAAAATCTTTTGTAGCTCAGAAATTGGAGGCCCTGGACTGTTTTTAGCACTTTAAGTGTTTTCGGGCAAACGAACAATAAAAAAATTTTTTTTGCACTAATTACTCTCGTTTTCAGATCTCTATAATCGATCTTCAACGTATGAAACGTCTCACTCCAATAACCCACGACTTTCAAAATTCATAGTAGTCCCCCCTTAAAAAATCTTAATGTCGATTCGCCTCATTCCTCTCAATTTTGCTGATTTTTGGAAAAATTACTCTTCCAATGATCAATCGTTCAAAGTTAGTATTTTTCTCCATCATTATAATAATTCAGTAACGAAGTGGTAAAACGGTTCAAGTCGACTTATCTCCCCGTGGAATTTTTGAGGAATATTTCCGAATCTAAGGGAGATAGCGAAATTTTCGTCAAAACTTTTTTTGCAGAGCCGATTGAGTGCTACAATAAATGTAATTATAAAAATTTTGCTATCTCCCTTAGATTGGGAAATATTCCTCAAAAACACAACTGGGAGATAAGTCGACTTAAACCGTTCTATCACTTCGCTACTGAATTGATTCATCGGAGGTCAATTACGCATTACTCAGGTTTTGCTTTCGAATGGAATTATTGTAATCGTTCAAATCCTTCAATGTATTATGCTCCAGCCCTCGAAGCTGCATCAATATGCGACCTTGAAAAAATATGCAGGGGCAGTGGTATGTCCGTAATCGATTTGATGCTCATGTCCGGCTGTAATTGCGGCGTTTTTTCTGACGCCGATGAAAGCCTCGAGAACATTGCTGAGTCACAGGAAGAGAGTGAGATTCTATCATGAATAAGTTGTTCATACGTTGATACTATTCCAATGTAAGGTTTCCCGGCTAGGAAGTTACTAATTTTTTCTCTCAAAAAATTAAATTTAATTAATGCCTAATGATGGAAGGCGGAGAAACCCTAGTGGAAGAACCTAAGGCAGAAGCGTAACACGCCTGATCAGAAATTCAGATCGGACTTGATCAGTTTCTGATCAAGACCTGAACAGAATTTCCACTCGGGTATGAGTCAATTTGAGAGTGAAATTCGTAAGTGTCCTGGTAGCTCAGATGGTAAGAGCACCCGACGCGACATTGGGAGGTCCCGGGTTCGATTCCCGGCTAGGAAGTTACTAATTTTTTCTCTCAAAAAATTAAATTTAATTAATGCCTAATGATGGAAGGCGGAGAAACCCTAGTGGAAAAACCTAAGGCAGAGGCGTAACACGCCTGATCAGAATTTCGGATCGGACTTGATCAGTTTCTGATCAAGACCTGAACAGAATTTCCACTCGGGTATGAGTCAATTTGAGAGTGAAATTCGTAAGTGTCCTGGTAGCTCAGATGGTAAGAGCACCCGACGCGACATTGGGAGGTCCCGGGTTCGGTTCCCGGCTAGGAAGTTACTAATTTTTTCTCTCAAAAAATTAAATTTTTTTTTTTTTTTTTTTCAGCAACTTTCGTCCTTCGTGTGAGGAAGTTAGCGTGTAAAATTCAGAATGAACAATTTTTTATGTATTTTTTCTTCAATTCCATTTGCTTTATGTATTTCTCATACTAAGCTGCATAAACCAACAGGTTTTATGCTCAATAAAAATTAAAAAAAAAAGAATGAACAATTCAGTAGCAAAGCGGTAAACCGGGTCAAGTCGACTTAGCTCTTCGCTGAGTTTTCGAGGAATATCTCCGAATCTAAGAGAAACAGCGAAATTGTCATTATAATCTTTTTTGTAGAGCGAATTAAGAGCTACCAAAAAGGTTTGTTTGAAACGCAACTAAAATTCCAGAACATTCTGGTCGACTAGCTCGGCCTAGTTCGAAAATCTCCGGGACCCTTCGGGTCATCAGTCATAAGTAACCGAAAGACGCGCGAATCAGTTTAGGCTTAGCCTCTCACCGTACAAGTCTATCTCGGGCAAATCACCTGTAGATATTTTACATCGCACTTCACCGAGTACAGTACACTGAGAAAAAAATTTATTCCTTCCAAGAAAATGTTATTGGTGATATCTTTTTCATACTCTTAGTAGAAGAAAATATCTCTTTTGGAACGTATTTCTCCAGGCCAGTCATTTCCAGGTGCTCCGAAATCAGTTCCAAGCGTGAGAATTATGGTGATCTATAAGAATATTCTTCTGCATATGACCTCGAAGAAACTCCAATAATAATTATTAACATTTGGAATTATTCCGATTTTCTTTACCTGAGAAAATCGCCAATTTGTAAAATCCGGAAGATATCGGAGAACATTTTGTCAAGGTCATATCTAGCATAATAATCAGATTGTTCAATATCACTGTAATTTTTGAGGATAGACTTGGACTCTCTGAAAATGACGGTCCTGGAAAAATTCGGTCTGAAAAAATATTATCTTCTGACGGGAATATCAATCCTTGGCAGGAATAATTTTTTCTCTCAGTGTAGCTTCTTGAACCTCACCTAGCTCACTAGTAACCAAGTACATCACCAGTCTTTGTAAGATCAACGTTTCGTTCAGTGCATCGCCACAATAATTAGTTAAACTTCAACTAAATTCAGCGATTCAACAGTATTAATTTCAGAAAATTACTGGTTAATCAAAAGGCTATCAACAATGACAATTTACCAAAGAGTGTATAAAATATTAACGACGTGGTTCGATCCCACGAATAAATAGTGATATTTTTATAATTAGTGCCATCATTAATTTTCCAGCATCTCCCTCCACATTTTTCTCCCACATCCANGTGATATTTTTATAATTAGTGCCATCATTAATTTTCCAGCACCTCCCTCCACATTTTTCTCCCACATCCACCCTAAACCTAGTTCGTCACCAAACAAGGTTATTACACAAACATAACTATCTTCCTTAGGTTCCGAGATATTCGTTAAAAACTGACCAATAGTCTAAATCGACTTAAACCGGTTTACCGCTTCGCTACAGAATATCTTTTTTGATTTTGATTCAGGGCGAGGAGTTATTCCTCGCCAAATATCGTGACACAATGATTGCTGATTGCCCTTGATTTCAAAGTGATTGTACGTGATTTCTTGGTATAATTCAGTAGCGAAGTGGTAAAACGGTCTAAGTCGACTCATCTCTTAGTTGAGTTTTTGAAGAATATCTGCGAATTTAAAGGAGATAATGAAATTTTCGTAATTACCTTTTTTTTAGAGCAAATTGAGTGCTACAAAAAAGGTCTTGACCAAAATTTAGTTACCTCCCTTAGATTCCGAGGTATTCACTAAAAACTGGCCAATAGTCAAAATCGACTTGAACCGTTTTACCACTTCGCTACTGAATTGATGTCAAATTTTTTATTTCACCTGTTTGCGCAATTGTCGGAGAGCAACTGCGCGAAATTATACCGTGTGATGAAATGCCACTGATGAAAAATACTCTAGCCAAACGAAAGGCTATTTGAAAAATTAGTTGAAAAAATTTGACCAATGAATTCCTTTCACTCATCAAAGTTAGAAATCACATAAAAAATTATCAATGATAAATAGTAATTGTATTAAGCGTTTTAAATTCACTTTTTCTGCTGACAGTCTTGGATGAGTCAAGAAGTCCTACGGAGGTGTCGACTGGTGAAGATGAGGCACCGCAGAACGTTAAGGTCCAGGCGGCCGGGTATGGGGAGCTCAGGGTCACAGCCGACCCACCATCTACGGGCTCCTGGCATAGGGAGCTCCATGGATATTATCTCAGTTGGATCGAGCACTCGTCATCGAACTCTGAGGTCAATACAACAAAAGGCATCGTACAATTCAAGAATACGACGGAGTTCATATTGAAGGGGCTGAAAGACTCCACAGACTATACTATTTACGTTACACCCTACAACAGCATGGGTCTTGGACGTGCCAGCAAACCTGTTGTTGGGAAGACTCGGGGAAGAGGTGAGTAGAGTAACAGAGCAGGGAGTACAGTGAGAAAAAAATCAATCAATCTGACAGATAAATCAATATTCAAAAAATGTTCAAATGCACACTTAAATAGTTACTTGAAAATTGGAAAATTTCGTGCTCAGCGATTGAATCAGGGCTCGAGAACAATCAGACTCCCCTTCCGTTTCACCCCCCGCGATCTACATGCGCAACACCTTAATGTTTCAGAGCGTCCTGACCCTCCAACCGCCCTCATCCTAACTCCGATCACGTCAAGATCCGTAAATGTGCAGTGGAGCGCGTCTTCGGACGTCCACAGTCCAATCACAAACTACACTATTCAATACCGCCCCTTAGCGGACGATTCGGCCGATAACTGGGATTCCCCCAAGACCCAAAACGTAACCATCACGCCAATGAAATTGAATGTTCCATCTACCCATGGAACAACCAGTAATGAACAAGAGAGTGGAGTTATTGACAAACTTCAGCCAGGAGTTACATACGTCGTCCGCGTATTGGCGACAAATTCGATAGGCACTAGTCAGCCAAGTGATCCTGTGACGGTGACGACCGCCGGAGAGCCACCGTCACAGGCACCGCAGGAGGTTAAGGCCCAGCTTGCGGGTCTTAATGCGGTGAGGGTCACCTGGGTGCCGCCTGCTCCTAATACCTGGAATGGAGAACTCCGTGGATATCACGTTGTGGCGAAAAAACTCTCGTCATCGAACGATGCGTCAAATATTGAAATAAATGTAAATACGATGGAGTACGTCTTCAAGGGGCTGGAAGAATCCACGCAGTACAGCATTTCAATTGCAGCATTCAACGACTATGGTCCTGGACCTACCAGCTGTCCTGTAGTTGCGATGACTCTAGCGAAAGGTGAGTACAGTAGAACCCCATTATAAGAACGCGCCTGGGGGTGCAGGGGTAGCCGATTCGGCGAAAGCGCTTATATTTCGTTCCGCCCAACATGCGCTGAGTGGCAACCTCAGTTCTCGCAACTCTCAGCGAAAATAGAGGGATAAGAAATAAACAGTTTGAGTATTTTTCAAGTTTTATGTACAGATATTTTCGTTAAATAATTTTTTTATTATTTACTGAATTTTTAACAATGTTCTTTGATGGATTATGCGGGATTGGGACACAATAAATATACACACAGTATTAACTAGTCAAAGATTTATTCAGTAAAGCACGTCAGTCGTCTCGCGTCTAGCGTCCAACATGTCTCGTACAGGAATTGATAGGAATGTACAGCATACACGCCACATCCGGCCTGGGACGAGATCTGCGCATGCGCACGATCTCGTCCCCTTCTTAGCTTACACAGATACATCTTATACTATAGATAATATATATATGAGGACCAGGAGCTGAAGCCATATTCCAACATTCTTTTCCATGAACATGAATATAACTTTTTTCACCAACTTGAAAACAACTTTCTTCGTGCCATAAAAATATTTAAAGGTCCATTTTTTTTCATAAAAATGTTTTCCAATATTTTAATTAACAATTGGATAAAAAAATAATCTGATCAACATTTTGTTTTATTGACAGTACCCTTCAATAAATAATAAACGATGGACTTTTATTAAAGTTTACTTTAACTGTTTCTTAACTTATTCCCGGGGCGGTCGAGTATGAACTGAATTAATTTTTCAAAAATTTCACTGCCAGAATATTTCACATTTCTGGTCTCCTGGAAATACAAAACAATAGGACATCCCAGTAAACATCGATGTGTTTACGTTCGGGTGTCGAGAGTGTTAGGGAGTGGGGGAAGCCTTCACGCTGGCGAAAAAGCGATTGAGGAGAAGTGGGCTTATATGGGGGCTCCTTATAACGGGGTTCTACTGTAAAGTCAAGGGGTAACAAAAGGCCACCGTTACCTCGAAATTTTCAAGCAAATTTCCTGCTCAAAGTTATTAATATTGATCTTTGATCACATTGATCTTCATCAGTGACATGCATATCAATCAATCATAATTACCGTTAAATTGTAAAGCTGTCAATTGGTAACATGAACAAGGGGGGGGGGGCGGAGGAATTAAAGGTTTTAGCCAATTCAATTATGACCACCGGTTGATGTTTCAGACCGTCCTGACGCCCCGACCAACCTCACGGTGAAAGATATCATGTCAAATTCAATGATTTTGTCGTGGAAGCGGCCTTTCGATGGCAATAGTCCAATCAAAAATTACACCATTCAATACAACCCCTCGGGATCCGGTGTAGCCGAGAACTGGGAGTCCTCCAAGTTTCAAAACGTAACCGTCACACCAAGGAATTTGAATGACCCATCTGGATATGGAACGAGTGATTGGGAGTATGCAAATATTACCAACCTCCACTCAGGAGTTACATACGCTGTCCGCGTATTTGCGACAAATTCGATAGGCAGTAGTCAGCCAAGTGATCATGTGATCGCGGCGACTCCCAAAACGCTACCGTCAGCGGCTCCGAGATACGTTAGGGTCGTGCCTGCGGGGCGTGGGAGGCTAAGGGTCACATGGGCGGCACCACCTAAGAACTCCTGGAATGGAGAACTCCTCGGATATCGTATCAGATGGGTTCAATACTCGTTAGCGAACTCTGCGTCCGTTAGGCAGCATTCAATGAGGGATCTAGGGAATGTCTTGCAGTACACCTTGACGGGTCTGGAAGACTCCACGCTGTATGATATTCAAATTGCAATGTACAACAGCAATGGTGATGGACCTTTTAGTATTCCTGTCGATGGGATCACTGAGGCGAGAGTTAGGCAGAGTAATGGTAGCGTGAAATATTATAGTTGATACAAGGGGTTGTCTACGGCCAAATATTGTACACAATGATTGGTGATTTTATAGTCGGACCAAACTTATTTTCCCTTTGGAAAAAATGGTTTTCCCCTGTTTTCATTGACAAACCAACGATTTGATAATAGAAACTATGAAAATTTGTTGCCTGAAACTAAGTTCGTGCGGGAAAAGAAATTTTGGTTGGACTATATCGTTAGCTGTATAGAAATGTAACGTAAGTGCCAAAATACGAGAATTCAATAGGAAACGAGAAACACAAAACAAATATGGGAACTGGAATTAAAAATTCAAAACTTCTGGTATGAGGACATTTTTTGGCACTTACGTTAGTCTTCTATGCAGCTAACGATATGTGATTTCAAAGTCATTTCAAAGATCGACGTCGGTGGCCGAATGGGCTACACTGAGAGAAAAACAAACACGTTGTCAAACAAGTCTTGTTTGGGCCAACAGAATCGCTAGTTGAAAATTGCCAAAAAAAGAATTTGTTTGGTTCGAATTTGAAAGTCTCAAACATGAATAATTGATCGAATTGATTCATGCCGAACAAACAATTTGATTCGAGCCGAAGTAACGAAGTGATTTACGTCGGAAAATCTATGTTTCACGGAGTTTTTTTTTATTTAATCATTTCTGAACAATTACAGTTCAATTTGCATACATATTTATGTTTCACGGAGTGAATAGCAACGTGACAAAATCTACTTGAATGAGGTCATAACCGACCTGTAATAAGTAAAAGAATCGACTTGCATCAAGTCGAAAAAATCAACTTGAATCAAATCGACGAATCATCTTAAATCAAGTCGAAAAATCTACTGAATGATATCGATGTGCCGAGTTGCACTCCTCCAAAGTTTGTGCCTCGAGATATTTTTTAATGTTGTTGTATCACAAAATAGGATACTCACGATGTTATTGGTTGGATATAACCAGTTCCCTTTGACGGGGAATTTTCCCCATTTATGGACGATTATTTATTAAAAAATCGTAGTTATCATGATTGATATCAGTGAATTCTAATCCTGAAGGTTTAGGATTATCAGTGGTTCTACCCACTGATGTCTTATTTAAAACATCACCCCATCACCCTCATTTCGATAGAAATATCATTTGAGCGTTGTCGATATTTCTCTCAGTGTACGAGTTGATGACTGTGGTCGATCGTGGCATGAAATAACTCGACTCCCGGCATAATTCAGTCTGACTTGATTCAGGATGTTTTCTGTGTCTGTTCTCCTCTGCAGCTATCAGGGGACGTAATATTTCATTCATTCGTTGTTCCTTTTTTTTCAGTTCCGACGATGAATCAGCCAGTGCATCCTTCTCTACCAAATCAACTTGTGGCGAAAAACCAAAGTGTTGACATTCATCAGAGAGAACCTGATACATCGAAAGTGCGCATAAGATTTAACAAGACCTCACGTGAGTACGGTTAATAGTATATCTCCAACCTCGACAGCAAAAGTCGTTTATTTAAGCTTCCATGGTTGGAAAAATTAGTAATGGGATCAACACTTTTTCAGATTAATTGAAGAGTCACAGGAAAATACCTCAACCGTACTGTTTTCATTTTCAGCACTTAAGGCGCCGTATGTTATTAAAATAAACGCTACCAAAAGCGACTATACGATGAACGCCCCAATAATTTCATTAATCCGGAATTAATGATTATTCAATTAATCAATCACTAGTGAACGGGCGCGAAGCGATTAATTGGAGATTAATTTGTACTATTTTATTTTCATTTCCGTCTTTACAATCAGATTAATTTAATTTTATTCATTCTTATTCTTATTATATGTATTGGTTTTCCTTAATTTTTAAGTTACAACGTTGAATGGAAAGGAATTATGTTGAGGATCAATAAAGTATTTTTTTGTGATCAAAACACAGACTAAACAAAAGTTATTACCACCCCCATTGTAACAATGGGCACTGCATACGTTGCCTTTCTTTACATTAAAGAAGGTAATTTATATAGTGTTCCACATCTTTATGACGTCATAGGTAAATGATTGGATATAATAATAATAATAATAATAATGAAATGTAATAGTTATTAAACTGAAAAATCAATTATTTGAAACAAAAATAATTCTGGATAGTCCAGACCGGGGTTTGAACAAAAAAAACAATAAAATCAATATAATCAATAAAATGAAAAAACACTTTTAATTTCGGTGATGTTATTCCGTTCAGAGGGAATACGGAAAATGTAGGAAAGAGAAATCAGAAATAAATTTAAAAAAACGATTTTTCAATTTTGAACATTTCAAATTGTTTGTTTTTTTTCACAATGAAAAAACATTAATGTGTGTCCTTTCTATGATCCAGTTCTGATGGGAGAAAGTGAAAAGAGGGAGAGAAACGTGATCAACATGAAAACAGAATTTTTGGCTTTTCAATGTGTAGGAAAAATTTTAAAATTGATCTGTTTTTTCCAATAATGGACCAATACCTATAAATTAAATTCCTATCTTCACATTTTCATAGAATACATACAAAAATAGAAAAGAATTCAAATCGGCGATGAAAAATTTCATCGGATTATTAATACATAATAGCTTTAATTGGTCGGTCTAAGCACCTAGAATAGTAAGAAAAAGTACGCCTGATGCGGACTTTCTCCCTAGAGGACAGACAGTTTATTGAAAGAAATTTTTTATTACAAAAAATGTAAGAAATACCTGTATTAATTCTTAATAAACTCCGATTTCAGTTGGATTTTTTTTGCCTGAGAAAGATCTTATTACCTTCGTTCTATAATTAGTGGAAATTCGATATGCGAATTGAATATGAGGACAGTGGATAGAATTTCATCAATGTCCGATGGAAACTTTCAACGAACTATCAGATTGCCGATATTCATGATAAAATTCCATGTTTCCGGTGGTAATAACTGAAAACTTCGGCGAGAGATCGGGGAGAGTAGAATGTAGGTTACACGGATTATGAAAAAAAACAAAAAAATGGCAGTATTGACGTATCATGATGAATAAACAATAATCATGGGGGTTTATTAATTTAATCCCCCGTTGTTTCTCGTTTCTTGCTCCATCTCCGCAAATAGTGGAAATTCATTAAATCTCCGGTGTAATCCCGGTGAGTGCGCAGTCTCAATTAAATCCGGTGGAGGGCACCTAATTCCTGACTCTAGGCTTAATTAAACTTGAGGATGTAACAACATAATTGCTGTGACGATTTACAATCTTCTTCCGTTCCTCTTCTTGTTTTAAAAGCTCGTCCAGGAATTCGATTTAATTGGGTGATTTTAGATAATTCGTGCGGGGGAATGATCGTCACCAGGGGATTACAACAGGATTTAAGGTGCACAATACAGAATGAAGTTGATAATTTAGGGCTTCTGTGCGTGAACAATTTAAGTGATTTGAATAAATCATTAATCGGAGTGCAATTCAAATAAATTTCGATCTCATAAGGGTCAAGCAACAATATGGTAATTTCAATCCTCGTTTTTCGATCGGTATTCAATTTTCGGCTTTCATAACTATTATTTCGAGGATCAGTATTTAAAGTTTGACCTTCACAAGGGCTAAATATCAATTTTGTCATTTTAAGGGTCAACATTAAAATTTTAGACCTCATAAGAATTAAATAATTTTTTTATTTTGACACTTATGCGGAAAAAAGATCAACATTTCAATCTCGATCCTCAGGTTTGGCCCTTGAGGGTCAGTATCAAAATTAGGATCAGTATTTAAAGTTTAACCTTCACAAGGGCTAAATATCAATATTGTCATTTTGAGGGTCAACATTAAAATTTTAGACCTCATAAGAATTAAATAATTTTTTGATTTAGACACTTATGCGGAAGAAAGATCAACATTTCAATCTCGATCCTCATGTTTGGCCCTTGAGGGTCAGTATCAAAATTATGACCCTTATAAGTGTCACATAACAATATTTAAATGTTGACCCTCAGTGGTCAGTACCAAAATTGTGACCCTCATAAAAGTCAAATTAATATGATAATTCCAATTCTTTTTGTCAATCGGTATTCAAATTTCGGCTTTCATGATTATTACTTCGAGGATCAGTATTTAAAGTTTGACCTTCACAAGGGCTAAATATCAATATTGTCATTTTAAGGGTCAACATTAAAATTTTAGACCTCAGAAGAATTGAATAATTTTTTGATTTAGACACTTATGCGGAACAAAGATCAACATTCCAATCTCGATCCTCATGTTTGACCCTTGAGGGTCAGTATCAAAATTATGACCCTTATAAGTGTCACATAACAATATTTAAATGTTGACCCTCAGTGGTCAGTACCAAAATTTTGACCCTCATAAAAGTCAAATTAATATGATAATTCCAATTCTTTTTGTCAATCGGTATTCAAATTTCGGCTTTCATAATTATTACTTCGAGGATCAGTATTTAAAGTTTGACCTTCCTAAAGGCTAAATATCAATATTGTAATTTAAGGGTCAAAATAAAATTTTAAACCCCATGAGGTTCAAATAATGTTGTGATTTGGACCCCTACGAGGGTCATTGATCAATATTTAATTCTCGATTTCAACCAATCGACTCTGAGGTCCTTCAAATGCTGACATTTGCCAAGTGAACATTCATCATTTCAGACCATTATGTGCACATAATTCATTGACACTTTAACACTCGGATGCACGCACCCACCCCACATTATCCGTGACAAAGTGCATTAATCCAAACGCCACTGAAGAAAGTCCCCGCCTCATCCATGTGAATCAACAGAGTCTCCCATCAGATACCCCCCCACTTTCCCCAAAATAAATATCCCACGCGAGTTCCCCACGTGTCCTAAAAAATTCATAACACCCCTGAAACTGGATTATTCACTCGACGCGTCCACGCGATGACGACCGTGTCCCCCCGTTAACCGAGTCATCAAAATTATATCCAGCGCGCATATCGTGACGTTTGCCCCCTCGTGTCGAGCCGCAAATTGACGGAACAGTTGTGAAAAAGGCCTAAAAATATCTTTTCATCTCTCGTGTATTGTCTCAAGAGAGTTCACGATCTGAAAGCAGGAATGACGGGTGATCTCTGTGAGTATCCACTCGAGTTCAAGTCAATAGACCCAGAGAGGGGTGTGAGAGGGAGAGATGAAGAGGAAAGAAGAGAGTGGATCGTCACCCGGTCACCTAAACTCTCACCTCGTCGCGCAGCAGCTCGTTTTCCATCGATCCCTTACAGGAATTGGGGCCAGCCACACACACACACACACATACACACACACATACACACATAGATAAACACACTTGGTGTTCCTTCTGACGCAAACTGCCGAGCGCGCGTGTCCGGACGCGTCCGGCCAATTATTTATATCAACTGCCTTATTATTCACCTGTCTCGATTCAATACCGCCCAATCAATTGTCACCTGCGTAACCTATGATCATCGATTCTCTCGGGTGGAGAATAAAAATGAGAGGGAGTAATGATGAGAATAGTTGGCGGGGAGGGGGGTTCAGACGCAGTCACACTCGTTGACCCGAATCACTTGTATATCCCGTAGACATCGTTTGCGACGGAAAATTGACTCACGGAAGGCGACTTGTGTCATTACAGCTCTAACGACGTAGACGTCAAGCTTATGCTTCTTCGCGGCGTTGAATTTTTTCTTAATGGGGTTTAGGCGAGAGGCCGATTTTGTGAAGTATAAGGGGCTATTCACAGGCGAATTGGACGACACCGCGATTACAAAATGTAATCGATTACCCAGGATTACGGAACTAATTACACTGATCACCATTGCCTATGTGATAACCGTGATTACCAAGAGAACAGAATGTGATTACATGATTACAAATGATTTCGTCGATTACATTCTGTGATTATCAAACATCTGTAATCATTGAACTCACCAAAAATGGCCTCTTATTAAATATGAATTGATGGAATGATTAATTATTAGAAGCTGCAAAGAAATGAGGAAGGAGAGGCGGGGACTAGAACACAGGAATGCAGTCTCCATCACTCCATCTAAAAATTTGGGTTTTTTAAAATTTGTTTGATAAGTGCTATCAGCAAAATAAATTGACTGAATATCTACCATTGATGGAGAATGAAAATTACCAGCAGATAATTCAGAGATAATTCAGTCGTTGGTTCTTCAGATTAAGAAGAAATTTTAACTCTGTTGAATCAATTTTCTACGGAAAAATGCTCTGTGCAAAACGCATTGGCTATGCAAGGTGCTGAACCATAAACATCTGGGATTCCCAGAGAAATTGATCCAGGGATCTCTGAGACTTACCGTTGGTAGAAATGACGCGCTCGAAAATTCAAAACCAAAATTCACGGTCTCACTAGGAGCAACTACGAAAGATTACACTGATTACAAATGATTAGTGATTACAGATGATTACCACTTGATTAACAAAACTTGATTACAAATATGGTAATCATGTGATTACCATTCCTCCACGTATGCCCATTTACGTGTGTTATTTTTAGTTAAAATTTCTCGAACTTTAACCAATGATTACTCGTGGTTATGTGACCATTGGTCAATATCGCCAACTAATTTCCTCCCTGTGGTCACCAAGAAAGGTTTAGAAATAGTGGAAAAGATGTATAAAGAAGTTATTAAATGTTTCTAATTCCAAAGTCCGTTCGTTACTGATCAGAGTGGAGAGTTCATTTCGTTTAGTTGGATGTATGAAATGTACGTTGTTCTCTGTTTTATTGAATAAATAGATAATTTATCGAATGAATGAACAAAAAATTATTTGATTCTTATGGCTTCACCTTGATAGTTTCATCCGTACATTCACCCCCGTTGTAACTTTCATGCTTGAGCTTTCTTGCATTAATATGATGCGTTTCTTTCCCTCCGGGTGCTATCCTCATTTCTTCCTACTGCACCAAAT